CTATGATTCTATGATTCTATGATCTGAGTGTCTGTGACTCCAAACAACTGCTTCTAGAATTATTTCTACATTATGCTGTTAAACAGAATATTCTCTACTGTCTGCTACACCCAGCAGTCTTTGGAGACAGAAACTCTGAATATTTCCAGCTGAGAAAATGAACTGGCATTTCCCATTTCCTGAACCCTTGCTCCAAAAAGGGGGATATTATGCTCTGTGGAATTAGTCTCTGACATGCAATGGGGAGATTTTAGAAAGCTTTCTGACAACAGCTTATCAGTAGAAAAAAACAGCAAATGGTTAAACTGAAATTTTTCAGTATACAAAAATTATACTAGGTGTGATGAACTTTTTTTTTCCCTTTAGTGAAGGAAGGAAGAAAGAGGATGGCCTCAAAAACTCAGTCTGCTCGCTCACCTGAGGGGCTGATAAAGTCCTGGCTCAGCAGCTGCCAGCTCTGGGGAAGCTCCATCATGTGGATTACTCTAAACTTGGGCAGGATCAAACTCAAAAGGGGTTTTGCCTCTGCTCATTTTCTTTTGAAGAACTGGGCACCCTTGGACATCCAGGATCTCTGCAGTCTGGGGAGCTGTAGCTCTTGCTAGGTGTGGACTTTGGGATCCACAGCAGAGAACCAGGAATTTTTAAGAATGATTATGCTATATCTAATGAGGCCATAAACGCTAACTGAGAGCAGTGGGTTTGAGGATGGAAGAAGCCTTGCCACAACCGAAGTCTTACCCGCCTATGCCAGGTCATGCGTGACCTGCATCAGAGCACATGGTGTCAAAGCCTGGCCTTTCTCTTCCCGATGCAAGGTCCCAGCTCCCTGCAGGGCACAGAGCCACAGTGAGGAGAGTTAAAATATATTTCACTGCTGTGCTAAATCACATCTTCCCAGTTTTAGGTGCATGTACATCAGATGCTGCTAATTATCAGGCTGATTAGCTGCAGCTGATGTAACAGTTTTAGTATACTGAGTATCTGCTTGTATTTACAGTATCCTTTCTTTTGCCTATTTCACTATTGTTAAAACACCAGCAAGTAGATATGAACTGTTGTCTTTGGATTCTTCCTAAACAACAGAAATCAGTGCCCTTATAACCTGGCCAGGATAAAAACTGAAATGCCTTGATAATTTAAGATAACAAGAATATTATAATATACATAATCTGATCTTTTTTTCATGAGAAAACATTAAAGATTTAGGTCAAAGAGAAAGAAACTATTTTATTTCAGTGTTGTTGCCTATAAGATTCATGCTATCATGATTAACTGCAATGCAATACTTTCGCAGCTGTCAAAGAGAACTGAAAAAAATATAGACAAATTAAAAGCAGGAGAGCATAATTTTGCGTACATACAGTACATGTATGGTGACAGATTAGAAAAAACCTCAAATAGGATTTACAGCTGTTTGGTTGAAGGCCATTATGCATTTAGCTTAAGTCCTTAGATGCTAACCTGGGTTATTTCTTAGTGGTTGTTTTGCTGATGAGATGTAATGATGGTTTTCATTTCTTATTCTCATCAGAATTGAAAACCTTTTTGGTAAATGATGGTGTACCCATAAACTGCAGGTGTGCAGAAACAAAGCAAAACAAACCCTTTGTAAGTAAAAATCAAACCCCAGAACAGCTTTTGAGCCTTAAAAACTAAAACTAATCTAATCATGTCAAAAGAACTGTAAATGTGTGCTGAATTTCAGTCAATATGACTGATTACCTGTCACTTACTCAGCTCTGATTTCCTCCCGCTATGCGCTTTGGAACCATCTTTGTTTTAGAATCTCGGAGGCAGCATGTATGAGTTGTTAGCTCACCTCCACCTCGGTTTCCTGAATGCTTTTGGGGCTGAGTAATAAGCCCTATCAGTCATTTCAGCCTAAAAGCTTCAACAGCATCATCACTCATTTATTTTTATCATCCTCATTAATGCTGCTCAACCTGAAGCTCCAAGGAAGTTTCACACCTTGAGTCACATAGAGACTACAGAGGTCTTATAAAGGAATGCCTGAATGCTTATATACATTAAGCTACATAATCACCGGGCTTTCTCTAATTTTGGATCCTGGGTTGAATTTTATTTGTAATTTAAGTGCAAAGTGTTGCGTAAGCTAAGCATGTCAACTGGCCATGACTTTTGGCCTTAAAAATAACATCTAATTTTTTTTTCTTAAAATGCCATTTACAGCAGAGCAAAAAATCTTGACCAGGCAACATGCATTGCTACTAGCTTTCCTATATGTGAAAATATTCAGACATGCATGCAATATACATGACTGAAATCAGCAAAAGGGTAACTAGTTGCAGAGTCCAGTTTCGTAGTGCAGTCTGAGGGAAGTAAGGGCTTGCTCCTCTGGTACATCCTGTATCACTCATCCTTTACAAAAGCCAGCAACAGACTTAGAAAATATCTTTAAAAGAGATTTATGCAAGTAGAAGGAAAGATTTTTGTAGGCAGAGAAGCCACATGAGACAATCTACAAAATTTGACAGAACTGTTTGAGCAGCATAACCAGCTGCTGCATAAGTTTGTCAGAGCTGCTTGTTCCATCATTCCTAGAAGCTGCAGAGAACAAGGTTTTCAGGACATTTGGGAGTAAAGGGCTATTACTCAGGCCTGTTTCAATATACCTCTATAGCAAATGGAGGTAGTAGTGTATACAGGTAAAATGGGCAATAAAAACTGAATAATGCTAAATTGTCACAGCAAGTCCACAGCAAGAAGTAATGTCTTCTAAGAACAGAAAAATAGAAGTCTACAAAACTGTCTTTATGTTACATTTCATGTGCAACATGTATTGATCATTTTAAATGTCCTCTGTACCAAGACTATTTTCTGGGGGAAAAAAAAAGAAGGTTTTCATACTGTACATTATATTCTCTTGAAGTTTTTCCCTGAGCAACAATATACATTATTTGTTTTCAGTTATTTTATTCTGAAAGTATGTTGTCACAGTAGCACCATTAATGGCTTCCATATGCTGTGAAGATATTATTACAGAGGAACGATGGCAGTGTAATTACATACTACATCTTTAAAGATCTGACTCTGACGGAGTTGAAGATTACTTCAGAGTTTCAAATTAATCTGAATGACCCCATCTTTATTGCTGTTGAATTTCTGGAAGTGATGAAATGTGAAGTCATTGAAAATAACTGATAAAAGCCTAAACAATCTGAAATGAGTAATGCAGTGTTTCTTTGACTTCATCTAAGTCCCATATGCTTTACAGCCAGGTACAGTATTTATAGAGAAAAGTTTGTTTTAATGAATGAGTGCTCTTCAGTTCACTAAGAATAGATCAACCAGGCAAAGAAGGGAAAAGCCATTATCATATGCTCTTACATTTTATGTTCACCAAAATTGTGGCTGTAAAGAGCAAACACTGTAGCAATGATTTCTGTCATACAATGTAAGGGTCTATAAAAGACCTGGGCATCAGGGCTAGAACTATGCTGTGGAAACATAATATAAGATTCAAGTGTAGGCAGAGCCCTTTTGAATCCCTTTTCTTCCACCTCTTCTGAATAACTTGCATAGTAGAGACCCAATAATATGCATATTTGTAAGTGACATTAGATAATAGGAGGATTTGTGATTGTCTCCTGCACACCATGTTAAAATTTGATTTTTTACTCAGAGTCATTGAAGTATAACTAAGAAGTAGCTGAGGGTCCTCTGTCTTTATAATATTTTGCATCATAGTTCTCCTTTCCAGGTGTTATAAGAGGAAGAGGAAAAAGTAAAGCTTTCTTTAGTACATTCCCATGGAAAGAGAAGAAGGAAAGGTTCCTTTAGTATGTTCTCTTGGAAAAAATAGTGAAATAATAATTGCACAACCCTTAGTAGCTCAGTCAATGAGTACTACAAAGCCACACATGGTAATGTCCAAATGTGGATGCTGACACAAGCGGACTTTACTTGCAGGGATTTTCTCAAACAAATAAAGCAAGATTTGCCTTCAGATATACTTTGCATATTGATGGACAGAGGGAGGAAGCAGACAAAACTCATTTTTTCAGAGGCAATCAAATAGACAGTTATCTAGGTACCATAGCACAAACTACTAGCTCACAAAAGAGTAGGTTTGCTCCTAATCCAGCAGTGCTAATGCCATTTTTTTTCCTCACCTGGAAGTATTGTAAAGCTGAAAAAGCTGACACAGCACGCACTGTAAGGAGATAATGACAGGGAGCAGTGTCTGCTGTTTAATTCAGCGGCTGGATGCGAAAGTCATCTATCCTGCTGTTACATGTTATACAACTTCTCAGAGCCTTATTTTGTGAAGTGTGACTGAACCACTACCGGGAGGAAATCTCTGAGACATCCCCCTATTGTGCCTCCCGCTAGTCACAGATGCCTGTCCTGCTATACTGTTGAAAAAGAGGTGTAAATTTCCTCCTACGTATTCACACGTAGAGGACCAGAGAGGCCATTGCCAACGTTTTCCTGCTCTGAAGCGACGGCTCTGTGAGAGCTGTTGGAGGATGACCCAGGAAAACGAAATGTGCGGTTGATGGGGCAAGCAAATGCCGGCTTTGTTCAGAGCCAGGGTGAAGTGAATCAGACATCCCGGGCCCGCAGAAATCAGCTCCAAAAGCTGCTGGCGGCTTTGAGAGCAAAGGCTGCTGCATGAAGAAAGGCGAGCACTACCTGCCCACTGGAAATACTCGCCACGGTGGTGTTCGTTACCAGCTGTGCAAAATAACAACTCCAGCGAGAGGTGCGGCTGAGCAGGAAAGGCAGGTGCTTCGGCAGCGGTCTAATGAATCAGGGCACGGTGGTATAAACTAAGGCCTGCTGCTACTGATGTCGTTAAAGTCAAGGCTGACTCAAAGTATTTTAGACCTTCTCTTTTAGCTATTTTAACTATTATGTCTAGCATTTTTTCAACATAGCTGTTTCCCTGAACGAAACCATTTTGTCCTCACATAACGGTAGTAATGCTTACTGTAAAAGTGTGTGTAATTTTCGTGTGGGTTTTTTTTTTTTTTTGAACTTTTATTACCACTAGTAGTAAATAAACTGAAAATAAAAGTGTGAAGAGCTAAAAATTTATGTTTAACACTGAAATTTTAGAAAGAGCACCCTCTGGCGGCTAATTTATAAAAAATACTCTTTATATCTTCCCCCCACAGGGAGTTGTACATGTAATTATAATACTGAATATTACAGAAATGGGTGGAAATCCTTTTTCCACTTAATTTTTCCTTGCAACTTCTGTGAAATGCATAGACATATTTTCTCAAACAAAATAAAAATTCAGATACTAAAAACTGTTAAACATAGAAGGAGGAAAATGCTTATAAACATGTACTGTGTACAAGTGGAATTTAATTCAAAAGAGTCGACCATATGGGTAAAATTAAAGATAGAAAAAAGATAGCTTTTTCAAGAGATAGAGATGCTAAGGCCCTTGCAGTTGCACTGGACCAAATCTAGAAACTAGGGGAAATTAACATGTTCAGTGGGTAAAATATGCATATCTTTTTCTAATCCTTTGTTGTTTTGACCTCATCATTTTAATTGGATGATTTAAGTGTGTTTATTTTGCACAGGCTCCATGGGTTTAATCAAACATGCTATGTTAATTATCAAGAAATCCTAAGAATGACTGTTTACCACTTTGTCACAGGTATCTTCCATTTAAAAGTACCTGAGTCCTCTCATGTTGGTTCTGCTATTGGAAGGATCAGAGCTGTGGACCCTGATTTTGGGAAAAATGCAGAAATTGAGTACAACATAGTTCCAGGAGATGGAGGAAACTTGTTTGACATCACAACAGATGAGAACACCCAGGAAGGAGTCATCAAACTGAAAAAGGTATGTGGCACCGATGGGGTATGTGTACCTATGGCTTAAGTGAGAAACTAGATAAGAGAATTAAATGTTGTGCAATTATACCTCATAAGTAATACACAGTAGTTTGTATCTTTATTAGAATCTATGGTTGTGATCTTAGTCTTAAAATAAATTGGAGTTTAGTGTTTCATTTCATGTACAATCAGGTATGACTTTTCACAAATAATGTCAGTTTTAATGGCAGAGAAGTAATTCTTATATCTTTCTGGAAAGTATGATTTCTCTTTTATGGGAAGTTTTGCACCTAACACCAGATGAAAAATGCTCCAGTTCAGCACATGGAATTAAAAGGCTATATTTTATGTTTTATACTCACTTGTAAGCATTTTATTTTGAAAATTTTTATTTTATATTTGTTATTTTAATAATGAAACTGTGATACAGTACTGTGGTGAACAGAGTTTTAACTCAGGGTAGAGGAGTCCCAAATAGTTGCAAATCAACATGTCCTACTTCCAGTCTCCTAATAGTGTCCCACATAGCTGGTTAACAGATATTCATGCAAGGAAGCACACTGCATCTCAGCAGATGATGTTGCTTTAGTGTACTAGAATAAGTTCAGGATTACTGAATTTATGAATTTTGAAGATGGAAAGGTTAAGTGTTATTTGGAATTTAGTGATTAAAGCACTCAGTAGGAGAGATCCAAAACAGGGACAGTCACATTTTAACCAATGGCTGTCTTCTGAGCCTAGGCACGTACACGTATACTAATGATCAGCTTATTCAGTAGAAAGAAATCTGAACCACCAGCTCATTTTGAAAGGCCAGGTTATGTTTTATACACAGCTCATGCTTGTAGGTGCAATTTTTGTAAAATAAACACATCTATGAGCTGAACACTTCCCAAGGATCTGGGAAGGAAAGACTTCTGGACATGTGCATTAAGACAAGCTTTAGGAAAAGAGAAGCTTTAGTTCCAATAAAATTTAGAATTTACATACTTAAATTTCCCCTGGCTCTGACCATGGATCTATATTTGCATTATACTCATTCTAACAATGAAATTCCTGGCTTCAGCCTCTTGACCCAGGAAACAGTAAATTATCCATGGGTGCATTAAAGGACCAGATGATGTTAAGTCACTTACTCTTCTGCTAGTTTTAGTGACATAAAATGGAAGCTACGATACCCTCAGGAAGTAATTTGTCAATGAGACACAAACTCTTTGCACTCTTCACGCACCCCCTTCTTTTCTGACTAAAAGTTTAAATGTACCGTTTCCTCCTTATGTGAATTTGTAAACTTCGTTTCATTTTAAAAAATCGTTCTGATCACCTTTTTCCCTCTATCCAGATGACTCAAAAATAACTCCATCTGGAACTGTCAGGCTGAGCAGCTGCATGCCCCTCCATATGCACTGCCGGTTGGAAACAGCAATGAATGGGAACCATTGAAAAATGAATGTTTGAGCATCAAGAGTAGGTTTTTGATAGCATTCAGTTCTCCCTGGATTAGTCCTAAATCTCAGCTGTGCTGCTTGTTTTTATACACAGCAATGGAATTTTTCCATACCTATGGTTAAGTATATATTAGACTGTATAGGCAAAACATTCAAATTGGCAATGCAGATTCAAACAGTGTGCAATATTTGTTACAATACAATACAATATTTGTTTCTGATGAAAAGCATCCACATATGAATTTGCCTGTTACAGTTATCTTAGGACCAACACAGGCAAAATGCCTGGCCACTTTTGACACTGCTATATAGGGAATTACGTAATATCTAATTGAACCATGAACTTAAAAAAAAATAAAAATTGACACAACTAATTCTATATCCAGATACATTAGAGTTGGTCATTGTGTTTCACTGCATTTATTTAGTCTTTTCAGTAACAAGATAAAGCATATTTGAAAGTTTAGGGCACTTTTACAACAACAGAACATTGGTTGATGTTGCCTAATGTAAACGATGTCACTGAACAGGAGGGGAAAAAATATAATCCTAATCCATTCTTAATCTTATTCATCGCAGTGAGTCTGGGGACAGTGACAGGCTGTGAAGGTCAGGGAATGCCAGCTTTGTTCTATGCAGGAGTATGGAAAGAAGATAAACCCAACATGCAGGTCCTCCAGAATAGAATGCCTTTATACAGACCCTGCACGTTGCCCTTCACAAAACTTTTCTCAGGGAAAAGGTCCCATTCACTAAGCTTTAAATGATCCAAGTGTTTTAAGATGTTTTGGAATCATGCAAAATCCATCTACTTAAGTTCCTTGCTGGATCCCAGGTTAAACAAAAGCGATCCGGATTCTTAAAGATAGTGTTAATTCAGTTGTCTTTTCATAGCCTCTACACTTGTAATAATATAAACATGTATTTTCATGGGTTGAAGTTTTCAGATTTTCAGAAGTGCTGGACGTTCACAATTCTGTAGACACCTATTAAAACACATGCTACCTGTACTGTACAAGCCTGACACAGCACTATTCATTTGCCTGCATAGAAGGAGTTTCACATTGCATGGTGTTCAAAACACTGATTTGACCTTGTGGGATTACACAAACATTTAAGTTAGACATGCATTTAAGTCCTTCTTTAAATCAAAGCTGGTGAATGAATAGGACCAACACTTTCAATTATGAATTACAAATAATAAACAGCCAAAGCCACTAATAAAAAGTGCCATGTGCTTTAAAAACAGGTTTGTACTTTTTTCTGTATCATAGCATATTCTGATGCTGTAAGTGCTGCAGTAATTCAGTGCTGAGCCGTTTCAAAACCATTTATAAAGTTTGCTTTTATTTTTCCTGAAAAATTTCTTGCAGCCAGGAACTGTCAGTCACTGCATAGAAGTTTTTCTGTTCTGTTGTTACGCAAAAAAAATTGAGACATTTCTATATCAAAATTGAGAAAAATGAAGCCTTCCTGGACTACATTTATTTTTGGTGGAAAATATATTTGATGATAAAAAATTGCACAAGCCAAACTGTTCTTTTCAGCATGCTAAGTGCATTGGCGGAGGCAAAAGGCCATTTTCTGCTTCTTGGACACTAAATGCGCACAAACAGCTACAGCTAGACAAGGTGCACATCTTAAATCATCTGTTTTGCTTGCTGATTTATTTTCGTGCTATGATCCAATATAAGCTTGATTACTACTACTCTTGTGCTATTTACATATATTAAAAATGGAATAGCTTTTCTTATACTCTGCTAAAGAAATGATCCAAATGCCATTTAGCACCACTGTGTGGTTAGTACTGCAATAGCTTCCTCTTTTTCTCAAAAAAAAGGGAAAATAATATCAATAAAAAAAGAGAAAATGTCTGGCTTTAAGATAGTGCTGCATACAGTTCTCTATAAGAGTAAGAAATATTACTATATTAGGAATAGAATGACCAATTTCTTCCCTTGTCTGGTGCTATTTTATACAGTGTTTATTGGGTTTTATATTTATGTAGTACCTGAATGCTTCAGCAAACTGCAGTGAGCGTAAGCTACAAGAAGCAGGGTGACAGAAGGGACCATCTCCTTCATGCTGGAGTGTAGTGGCCTCAGGTGGGGCACGGAGTAGTGCTCCCAGGTATGGAGGGAAAATATGTCAGTCCCAGGCAAGGTCCTGATTTTATTGAAACTGATAAGAAATCTTGAATGACTACATCCAACAGAAAAGGAAAACGGAAGGATCCAAGCTTCACTGAACAGTTGACATTAAGTTTATTTAACTAGGGATGAGTTTATAGGATAAACCCATTGTGTGCAGAAGCCTCTTAAGTGGCTCAGCATGAGCTAACCCAGAAATCGAGCTGGGTTCAAGCACTGAGTCTGGCTCAGACATTACTTTACCTATTTGTGCAGAGTGTCATTAAAACCCAGCAAAAAACTGTTTCTAGGCTTCACCTGGTATGATCCTACACTGTTGCAGTATACTGGGTGAGCTTCTCCATGTGGGTCAGTGGAAGCTCAGGGAACATCTGCATCTTATTTTTTGTAAGCCATGTACCACTGCTAGCTGATCAGGTGACAAAGCTGGATCCATGAAATCACAGCATGTCAGCACTGCGTGATGAGACACAGTAACTTTAGTGATGACAAAATAACAGAAACTGGGGGAACGAGGAACAGACCCAGTAGCTGCAGGGAGGTGTTTGGAGTGTATGCTTCCTTGTAACCTCAGGGGCCACTTTTAAAAAGCCTTTAAAGTTGTCTTGCTCATGAGACACCCCATCTGGGTGGGACATTGCTAAAATGTAAGAGCAGTCTGATAGCATGTGTACACCAAAATAGTGAGCATAAGACAGACTCCTGACATCCCTCAGCCAGAATTGCATTACTGCTACTACTTGCTTTACTAGCAAGACTGTACAGACTGCTCACCCCACCCCTTCATTCTCCAGAGTCAGGGAATACCCTCTGCAGATGTGTGCGTAGGCACCGTCTGCCTATAATCATAACTCATGAATTTGTGTGAGTGGGAATTGTGGTTTTACATTTTGATGAGGAAGAGCAGGCGATATTAAGTCCTTCAGTACAGGCAGAAAGTGGTCACCCAGGTGCAGACGTAATCATAAAGACCATGGCAGCCACAGACAACAACAAGAAGGGTGAGGAAGGGGAGACATTCAGTCTCTGTGGTTTGCAGATACAGCTGTTGGGTTTGTTTTTTCTTGGAACAATGAAAGGCATCTGCAGAAACGGGTCAGATGCTTGAAAGCAGCAAACAGCTGAACCCCGGACACTGGTCAGATTCTTCCCTTCTCCAGATAGAGAACATACATATATTTTGCCCACTTCCCATCAGATCTTGAAACACTCACTTCAGATTTGGTTTTTCAGATCTCATTTTTTACTGTGCGTCCTCATCTCTGTGATTAATGAATGTTCCTGGTTGATCTAGAGCTTGCTTTAATAAGCCAACCTGCTCTATAATACCAATTATTTCCTTATGCTATTTAAAGTCCAGTGCAGAAGTGCAATTGCTGAAACATGTCAATGCACAGCAAATAGTCTGATGGCAGTATTTCACAAAATATATAGACGCTCAACCCATCTTCAAGGGGAAAGTGTTGCCAGGTTTTGATACAGGCGCACGACAGAGTTGTTCTGCAATTGCACAGTGCTAGTATGAAGACACGCCTAAGTTAATATGTGCTGCTTCTCAACCCAGTGCTACTGTCCGTAACTATCCATATCTCCTGGGGCTTACAGTCTCATCCCAAAATAGGGCTTTTCCATCATTGTAGGTGTGGATCATGAAAGCCTGTATCACAAACAATACTGTTTTATCTCTTCTGTGTGGATAAGAAGCAGAAATGTCTGGAGTTTCTGGTCCTGCCTCTTTGTGAAGCAGGGTAAACTGACAGGGTAGTTCTTTTCCCACCCTTGCCATGCTTCTCATTAGAATTCATTATATCTTTTAGCCCACTTTTTTTTCTTTCAGTTCTTTAATTCTCTCTCTCTCTCTCCCCATCTACCTATCTATCTATCTATCTAATATATAAATTTAGATACAGATACATCTATATAGTAGTGAGTAATATTTCAAAATACATTTATTTCTAACACAGAGCTCTTTATGTCCTTTCCTAGTCATACTAAATAAGTCCATTTATGGTACTTCCAGAGTTGCAAGATGAAGTGATTTGTCAGTATGTGCTATTTGATTTTGGGATTTGTAGAATGCCTTTGCTGCACACAGCTGTGTATATGCTGATAGTGCTTTACTATGCAACTGTAATATTTCAAAATACATTTATTTCTAACACAGAGCTCTTTATGTCCTTTCCTAGTCATACTAAATAAGTCCATTTATGGTACTTCCAGAGTTGCAAGATGAAGTGATTTGTCAGTATGTGCTATTTGATTTTGGGATTTGTAGAATGCCTTTGCTGCACACAGCTGTGTATATGCTGATAGTGCTTTACTATGCAACTATACAGAGCAGCTTGTAACCGCAACATAGATAAGAACCGGTAAGGGGGCCAAATACATCTGTTCTGTCACTGGTACTTAGAATATCAATTAGAAATACTCCCCTAATTGTTGAATAGTTCACAGTTAATAAGATGCTGCCTAATATTAGCAAAAATGCTGCTTACTGTGGAAAAACTCTTAACTTTTGTAAAATAAAAACCTTATTCAAACTTAGCTTTCTGAATATAATTATTTTTATAGAAGGAATAAAAATTTCTATTAGTTATTTAAACCTCCCCACCACCTCTGTGAAGTCATTACATTAAAATCTGTTTAATTGAAAGATGTTTCAATAATCTTACAGTTTTTTTCTGCAAGATTCAAACATTCTGCTGTTTGTACCCTTACCAGCATTACAAATATTAAATGAAAATAGGGCTGAGCATTGTAGACATTTATTATGTAGCAACAAAATATGTTTAAAAAAAAAAAAAAGCAGCTAAAATATTGTGTGGACCACTCATTTCCTTCACTGATTTTAGTGGCATCTACTAAAAAAAGAAATACAAAGAAATGCTATTTTAACATCTTTAAAACTAAAAATCCAAGAGGTTTTGCCTGAGAGCTAGGCAGACATTCAATTCTGCTGTTTTCAGGCAGGCTCCGAGCACATCAGACAAATGCCAAAATTTGAGACTGTCAGTAGCTATCTATATGGTTCAACTGTACAAAACTGGGAAGACCAGAACTGATCAGGAGATTGTAGCATGGACTCCCCATAAACACAATACATTGAAACTATACTCTTTTGCTGCATTATATATGTTGTACAAAATCTTTTTCTTCTTCAAATTAAATCTTAGATTTACCATTTGCAACATTTCCCATCTTTCCACAGACATTTCAGTTGCAGTTTAGCCTCACTTATATTAAAAGACTAAATTCTGCTATTTTGTGGGAGTCTGTCACTGATTTCTTTCTCTGACGATGGCTCAGCACTTTCAGCCTATCTCTTCTTATTTTGAGTGCCACCTGTGCTCTGCATTGGCCGCATATTGCTTAACCTTTAACTATGTTTATCATCAGACCCATAGAAGGACAGAAGGAGAGAATGGGTTGCTCTGAGGTTACAGTGGGAAAGCATTTTCCTTTCTTGGGGTCAAACTGTCTCTTCAAAAATATACCATAGTGGTGCCCCGTAATGCTGGGGGGACAGAAGTAATGCAGCCACTACTCCGACTTCTGGGTAGCTGTGCAGTAAAATATGCCAGCCTGAGCACACCAATACACAGAATTGCTTGAAATCTTATTTCTTTCTGTCCATCCCCAAACAAGGACTCTGTTCCCCTTGCATCATGAAAGTGGTGACTGGGCACTGGCCAAGGACCGTGACCTGGTACTGCTGCCTTGAAGAGTAACTCAGTGAAAGACAGCCTGCAAGGACCGCATGGATTGGGGCTCTTTCCATTAGCACATCTATCTGCAAATATATTCATGCAACACAGGAGCCAGTCTGAACAGTTTTAATGCAATTTTGGGGGTGTGGAAGATCAGTTAGAATTACTGCTTAATTGAGAGCTTAGATTTCTTGCTTTCTCTGTCTTAATCTTTTATCTCTAGCTTAACCCCTCATACTTAGACTTTTCCCACTTTGGACTGGTTCTTTAAACTCCAGGTTTTCTCCCCTTAATACATTTTTTGAAAACGTGTTAACAATTTATATAATCAGCTGGAGAAGTGTTGGGGGGGGAGTTGCTTGTTTGGGGGGGGGGTGGCAATACATAACAGTGAACATGGGTAGTACAGAAACTGAAAAGACAGTGTGACCATTCAGATAATGAGCAAGCATGTCCATTTGTAGTGAAGGCCAACAGCTTAGGCTTTCACCACTAGGGCACAATATCTACCACACATTTTTTTCTGTTTCTTCTTAGCCTTGGTTTCTTCTTCTTTCTGTCAATCCTGTCATGAAGGTGCAACTCATACTGGCTTTTACTGGGAATTTTGTCTGTAGGAGGATGGTTGCATGTGGTAGTGGATTGGTTAGTCGTACCTGGCTTTCAAGCCTGATTATCTCTATGGTATATAGACTTGGATGGCTAATTTTAAGTCCCCAGCTCAGAAAAGACTGACCATCTGGTCTATTAAAATTATAAAGTCTTTCATAAGGATTTAAAATCATTATGCTAGCTGTCCAGCTAATATAAGTCAAGGTAACTCAATTGATTTTAATGGAGCTACTTCAGTTTACACCAGCCAGTCATCTGGCCCATTATGTCCTGTTGTGATAAGGACAAAAAATGGCAGCATTTAAATCTACCCTAGCTGTGACAAATGACTGGAAACACTGCGGTAATGATAGCTGGGGGAAAAAAAATGACAGACATTGAAATATTCTTGTTCATACACTTGTGATCCTGCTCTCTTTTCCAGATAGCATGTCCTTTCCCGTTAGAAAATTTCCAACTTTACAATTATAGGCAGAAACCACTAGGTGCCAGTGTTACCCAGACATGAGGAAAAGACTGTCAGTAACGTTAAAAACAACATGAAAGCCAATACAGCTAAACCCTTTAACTGAAAATAAAGCTTCTGTGTCTTTTCAACTAAATAAGACTGCATGAAGGTTTTTGAGATGATTACTTTTCTAAAACCAAAGGCACTAAATTGATGTACATTGACGGAAACCCACACTAAAACAATCTGATTGCAGGATGCATTTCCATCAAAAACCCAGGTACACAAAAGCTGCTATGCTGCCTTCAAGACCTTATGGATTACATCTAGGATCATAAGACACAGTCAAAGTCTGCATTTTTCAACTTATTTGCGGCTCAAATATACAGCGTCAATAACAGTTCACTGCTAAGATAGACATTGTACAGGAAAGACTTGGTTCGGATCAAGTTTGAATTCACATTCCAAACCACACCTGAAGTTTGGTTTGACGGATTGGTATACATCAGAGTTTTCATTTGGGCTCATTTCCGTCATTGTCATGGTCCTCTGAAAGCTTTCCCTGCTAAAAGAAATGGAAATGTCCTGTTTAAGGAACTGGATCAGCTAGAGACAGCTGATTGCCCATGCATGGGAGTTGTGAATGCAAATCTCTGGCTAACTGGCACACGGCTCATTTACAAGAGATGAATCTCACTCATTTTACTTCAGACATCTTCAGTGTAACTGTTTACATCCATGCCAGTCATCCTGATTTTTTTGATGTGGAGAAACAGCCATTTCCTGGGTATGATTCATCTGGCCTCTTTCAGAAACCACCTTAGCATGAGATGAACTGCAAAACAAGCTTAGATGGTTAGCTCCGGAGCTGAAGTTTACACTGAAGGCATCTTACATTATGTCAGATTAACCCTACCAAACTGATTTTGCAATGTTTACTTTTCAGTCAGATCTGATGTTTTGCTTTTGTTCTTTCTACAGCCACTAGACTTTGAAACAAAAAAGGCATACACCTTTAAAGTTGAGGCCTCCAATCTCCATCTTGACCACCGATTTCACTCGGTGGGTCCATTCAAAGATACTGCCACTGTGAAGATAAACGTGTTGGATATGGATGAACCTCCAGTTTTCAGCAAGCCTGTGTACACAATGGAGGTTTATGAGGACACACCTGTGGGGACCATTATAGGTGCAGTGACAGCACAAGACCTCGATGCTGGCAGCAGCTCGGTTAGGTAAGAAAGCTTTTCCTCTTTCAGTAACTCCCAGACAACTCAAAGTGCTGCTGACAGTCAGTCTCGGTGGCAAAGAGCTTAGTAAGAAGATATAAAATGTTCCAAGTCTGTCACTGTAACAGATAACTGCTGCTTTGAGAAATATTGAAAAGAGATGCTAGTTTGGGTGGGTTATCTGGAAAAATACATTAAGTCCTGACAGCTTCTTATCATACAGATCATATAAGTTACCATGTACTGGCATGACTTCAGAGATGACGTGCTCAGACTAAGAAAGTAAAAACTTCGTTTTGCCTGCTGTCTGGGGCTTCCACAAAAGCAGCTCTGAAGTACAGTAGTGAAAAAAGAGGTTGTACATGCTATTTCTGTGTTATACCTCAACGGGTAACAGTGAGCACCACCCCTTTCACAAGAACAACTCACATCTGGCAAAGAACAGATGCTTTGATAAATAATTGCTACATCTGCCTTGGCTAAGGCTGTGGGGACGTGATTGCTGACGACCATGGCTGTGTTCAGCAGACTTTAGCACAAGTAAACCCCTGCCAGCAAAACCTCTCATTTACTGGTATAGCTTATTTTCCTGAAATAAAAGGGAGAGGGGAGCTGTTATACAAAGGTAATATATTGATTTTGCTGATGTATTTCCAGACACATTAGAAACTATAAAGTGAGCCAGACTCATGTACCAATAAGGAAGCTCCTGTGCAGACACGGTCTAAGATGTAGGCGGTCATTACACATACTTCCAGTACTAATTCATGCTGGACCTACCTGACTACAGGAAATATTTTTTTTGCAGATTTTCATGAGCAATATTGCAGACATAATGGAAGTCATCAATCTTTAAATATTAATGTGTATCAAATGGGACTATGATGGAACAGGAAGATGCTACTAGCATCTACCAAGTGCATACACACTCATACATATTTGACTACAAATTTAATTTGGACTTTTTAATCCATGTTTTTTAACTATGTGTATGTTGACTCAGTACTTATATTCTCAAAATATACAATAAACATGCTAGATGATATGTTGTAATCATATGCAAAAATTTAACATGCAACAGTGACTGTTTAGCTCCTGCTTCGTCAATTCACTGTTAATTAATTTTAAAAACTATTACTAATGTTGTTTGTTTCACTACCTTTTTTTAAAATACATTCTTCATTCTTTTCTAATACAGAAATGAATTTGTTCATGCATCTGTGACACATTCCTTCCCTGACAAAGGATCAAAACCTTCACTAACAAAGACTCAAGTGGGAACCTTTTTCCCTGATGGTAGCCTATGAAAATAGCCCCACTGAAGTCAATATTCTGTTGAAAACCATAGTCTCTTGCAACCAGATAAGCCTTTAATCATACTGTTGAGCAGTTTTTCGTATGACAGCAGAATCATTTGAATGTATAACCATTCCTCAGTGAGAGTTTTTTATTTCACAAACCCTCCTAGGAGACTCAAGTGCTTTAGTTACTGATCCCGCATTTGCAACTACACAGGAAAAATCATCATCTCACGATGGTTTCTCCATACACTGCGCTCACTGTAATATTGAATACTAAAAAGTGTGGCCATTTGAAAGTGGCCACGTCTACCTTTTTTAACCCTGAAATCATTACTTGGGTGTCCAAATGCCCATCTACAGTTAAAAGATTAGGAATATTATAAAATACCCTTGCATTTTAGTCTCAGTGCTCTACTTGCTGACCCCTTACACTGACAAACTACAGAAGTGCTCCCAGGGTCACATTTTATGAACCAATTCAGCTGGCTCATGCCCGGGGAAAAGCATGAAGTATGTCCCAGTATTACAGATTTCTCAGAGGGACCCGCTCCTACCCAGCAGTAAGGCACACATTGAATTCGGTGGACTTTGGAGGGAGATACTTTGCTTTAAGGAGAGGGATGTGTTCCAGTAAGCCAGCTGACATGCTGAGAATATTAAGCTGGAAACCTCTCCATGCAGCTCTCTTCTGGCATTGTAAGACCATTTATTTCTATCAGTTTTTCATGTTTCAGTCCTGAAATCTCTTCCTTGGCTCTCATTTACCTGAGGATATATTTGATTCTCTGTATTTAGCTTGATCTCCAGCTCTTTGAATTTAATGATAAGATTCTTACTAATTTATCAGAGATTTGACTATGCTTTTGTGCTCTGGAAGAATCTACCTGTATCGAAATGATGACTAGTGCAAGCAGAAAAAGAAATTATATGCGATTTTTAGTTACTGATGTATTAGTGTTCAATATTCCGTAGGTTTTTTATCCTCTGACTGAAAAAAAACAAAAAGTACATGTTGGGAAGTTAGAAAAGCATAAAGTAGTTTGAAAGAGTTGCCTATGATTACAACTTCTTAATATATCTTAACCAATTATGCCCTTTCAGCTGTTTAAAATCTAGATCGTCTCATAGATGTAAAGAAAGGCCTTATCAATGTCGTCATATTTTAAAGAAGGAGTCCGAGCATCTTCTGAGTAAAGATACCCTCTAAACAAACATAGAAAAGCAAGTAATGTTCTTTGAGGCAACAGCCCACACAATTTGCTGGGTGGCACAGTTTCTCTACAAATTCGTTCATTTTCTCTGAAATGTTTTCCTAGAGCAGTTTGGCCATTAAGATGCCCATTACAACAACAACAAAAATCAACAATCTGCCAAACAATAGAGACTGGGATAAAAGACAAATCTGCACTGTGTGCGACAGAAGGCAAAACTCTGGAGAACAAAGCAGGCTAGAACAGTTCACATGAAAGGAAGCAGCACTAGTCACAGCAACTAAATCCATGTCATCAGACAAAAACTGTAGCTCTGTTACGCTAGACACATCAGGAAGGGGGAGATAACAGCTAAGAATGAAGACTGGATTCAGCTGGTAGAAAAAGAAAAATATTTTGCTGGAAGCCATTGAAAATGTTGAGGTTTATATTATTTTTCCATTTTCTCCTGTTACTGGAATCAAGTTTTTGGACGAGTCAGGAAATTTAAAAGGTTTGTTTTGTGGAATAACATTTGTTGGAGATGTTGAAATGAAATGGCACAGAGCACACATTCAGCAAGAAACAGGAAAATAAGCACATGGAGAAAAGGGGCCGCAGGTATTCAACACCTGCAAGGGTGACTGGCTTTGAAGCTGTTTTGGAACATTACCCCAGTGCACCTGATTTTCAAACTGTTTTTAATCTGGAGTTTATGTGTCTCAGGAGAGCTATTTTGTCTATTCCCATTTTATCCATAGTTCTGTAAGAAAGGCTCATCATGAATGTTAAGATGAACATGTACTTTGTGGCCATTAAAAATCCCAAAGCACTTCAAAAAGAACAATGATCTCATGTTCTCAGACTCCTCTAGTTTACGATGGTTACAAGCTATCTGGGAGGGAAAAAAAAGCACCTGTGTTGTAGTGTATTATAATGTATGTAATTTGTAAATATGCAAATGTTTTTAGTAAAGATCCTTGTACTTCTGGTACAAGGCATTTTAGGACTTCCTAAAAATCACTTTTATATGTGTCCATACAGCATGAATGTTATAGACAAAGCTGTCTAAATAACAAGAAAGTGCAAATGGATGGCAAGACTGGGTTATCTGCAATACTTTCTAGAATAGCGAGCTTTATCTAACAGTGTGTGTGAAGTTCAACAGCTTTGCACTGACACCTTTGAAGTTGTCAGATTTCCTTGGAGATGATCTTCTTGCAAAAAGCATGAAAGGATTTTTGCCCCTGATGTGAACCCCAGATATGACTCCAATTACAATGAGTTTCATATTCTGTGCCACAACACTGCCCTTCAGATCTTCTCAGCTTGACTCAGGAATTTTGCCTTATGAACCACAAGAACCACTCAAAGCAGGAAAGCAGAGGGGACTGTGCATTTTACTGCCCAAGCCCAGAGTCATGAAACCGTGATATTAAAGAAAGAAAAAAGGTGTGTGTACTAGTCACAGGTCAATCCTGCCCTCAGTATCTTGGGGACAAGACTGTATTCCCTGCATGTGTTTCCAAAAGAAAAGCCTTATTTATTTTCTGAACTAGTTCACGGCGGTCCTCTTCCTGTAAGTTCCTTCCCATACGATCCCATGTACTGCTCTGCCGTTCTCTAGGTTTGAATTAGCTGCTTCCTCCTCAGCAACTAGGTGGTTTTAAGGGAACTGAACTGAACAGAAAGGTGACTTCTCTTCTAACACAAGGCAGAAAAATCTTCCACTTCTGTGCATAAACTGTCTTTCAAAAGGAACTGTTTCCTTGCAGCTTCATGAATTCCTGCTCTTCAGCAGAGTCACAGCAACTGACTGTATCTCTCTGCTTTACTTTTACTGTGAAACAAGATATGTATAACAAATTATTATGGTAATCCCCTTCACGGTAGTTTAAATTAATATGTTTTATTTCACATTTGCAATGGATTAGGTGCACACAAGCAGACAGTTACCACAGCTCAGTTGACAAGAGACTCAGTTGTATTAATTCAAGGACTGTAGTACCTCGGTTCCAGTGATCAGCTTGAAGCTACCACAAGTAGCCACCACAAAATAAGTGCAGATTTGTTTTAACCTTAATCTTAAATCTATAGACTGTTTTAACCTTAATCTTAAATCTATAGGCTGAAGGGATCACACACCATTCTTTGGTGGGGAAGGTAAATGTACTGTCACTCATTAGTCCTCTGTGATGCTGCAGCATGTTCACTTGGAACAGCCAGAGATTTGAGCTGAAAAACCCTTCTTTGTCATTTTGGAGCATATGCAGACTGACTTCTTGATCTGTGTGAGTTTTCACAGGACTGGCAGGAACATGGAGGAAAGGTGAGTACTTTCTGACACAAGTCAGAAATCCCACGCTAGAGGAAGGTCAGACCTTCCCAAATAAAAGATTGCTAGGATTCATTTGACATGCATAAATTTTCCTGGATCGACTCCTGGAAGCACTTGCAGCATGAAATACTATTTCCTAAGTCCAGCAAGTCAAAACCAACTGAAAACAACATTTTA